TAACTGTATATAACCTTAAACCTTCACTTAGGCACTATGGGTTGCACAAGCTATAAACAGTTTTTATAAACGAAATCGATGTTGATTGATATCACACAGAAACACCTCTTAATGACGATGAAATTAGCGATGATCGCACCTAAGCATTAACAATGAGATTACATATTATGGGATGAAAATTGATTATATTTAAATAAACATAAATTTTTTTTTTTTTTAAAGCGAAACAATTGACATCAGTATTAAATATAAAACAATTTATGATAAGTTATTTAATTGTTTCAGAAAAGTATAATTTATAATTATTTGCATAATGTGTATGAATGCAAATTTAATTCTGATGGATTTTATGAGAGATTATTTCAATATTTGTACACTTTTAGCTCACAATATGCGCATAAAATCGGTTTGGAAAATTATTTCCCAGTCAGTTTGATTGAGCACTCTCCATTTCTAAGTTGAGCTCATTAGTGGCTCCCCACCATCGTGTTTATGGTACCCAATTACCATCGAAAGCTATTCACATCTGCACACAGTGATTTTGATTAGATGCCAATTTGTTTATGGCACTCGCTGGTCTGTCCAGAGATCAGATATCCATATCCCATATCGCGTATCGCTGGTTAGACTATGCCCAGCACACTTCGGCTCGTCTTACATAAGCATTTCGATTTTGGGAGCTCCTGCTCTAATACGTTACGATCCACATTGAACACCAAAACCCCACAAGTTTAAGGCGTCTTGAATTACCCGTGATTTTCATTTTCGTTTCGGTTTTTACGACTGCCATAAAATTGCTGGCGGTTTCTATTGAACGCTCTGTGAAACTCCATCTGATTAGTTTATTAATTTGTGTAATGTGCTCGAATGGTGGCGAAGTTACTGAGATTAGTTTATTAATTTATGCGCATAGAAAACTCACTATTCGAATGGCGTTTGTGATGCCAGCGGCATTGTTCGCCCGCATCCGAGAGATACGAAAACTTTGGGCCATGTAGCGCTAGCGCTGTAAAAAAAAAAAAGTGGTTTCCTACCCACCCCTGTTCATCATCATGGCCCTTCCACTGGTGGAGTGGAATGGGAATGGTTATGGGTATGGGTATGGGAGTGGGTATGGGAGTGGGTATGGGAATGGCAAGGAAATGGGAATGGGCGGAGTCTAGGAGTGGTTTGTGGCCAGAGGTGGGAGAGAGTGAGAGCGAGAGCGAGAGCGCGAGTGTGTTTCGCTCGCACGAACTCGTTTTGAGTGCCGTCGCCGTCGTCCAATGCAGGGGTTTCCACTCAAGCAGCGCTGCCGCGTCTCTGCCGGCGTCGAGATGAGCCACATTCGGGTGGTTCGGTGGTTCGGCGGTTCAGTCGATTCGAGTCACTTAAAGCGAGTGTTACGGAAACGGTTGACGTCGATTCGCCCGACTCTCCTCACTCCTCACTGCTCTCCGTTCTGGAACGCCAGTCAACTGAAGCGGCATTCGATTTCAAAACATCGTCGAAACAAAACTAATCAAACCAAATCAAACCACCGAATCGGTCCACTCAGTCCACGTCCACTCCTCGCGTGTGTGCTCCTAGTGAAAGTTAGCTCCATCTCACAGGATGGTCACCCTCATGCCATACAACTACGCTGCCCCGCGCTGCGGATTAATTGACAAAATGATCGAGCCAAAGGTAATCAAATCGCCGTAGTGCCCCAGCCCGAGTCCATTGGTGGGATTTTCGCTCTTGGCGAAGCTTTAAAAGTGATGTGGTTGAGCCGTCGGCTATGGTTATTGTTATTGTTATTGCTAGTGTTATGATTATGATTATGGTTGTAAATGTCGTCGGTGGTTGCATTGTGGGGCTTCCCCTAACTGCGACAACTAGCCAAAAAGTGAAACTTTACAGCCAGATACTCGTCTTTAGCTTTATTTATTGGTCTTGTACTCTAATATATGTATAGCCAACAGTTTAGGTTGGATTTAGGTGATCTATTAGGCGGCGTGATATCATAGCACACTTCATGTATAAATCTGGTCCAGGTTGACAGCCAAGACGTGTTAAGATGTCAGTCGATTTCATAAAATTAAATAATATAAGTCCGGCAAATACACTCAGGAAAAATGAACTACTCTGAAGATTTTAAAAAGTCTCTATGTACTAAACATAATTATGGAATGTCTTTCATTCACAGAGGATTACAATTTTTATAGACCCAGCCTGAACAATACGATTTTAAAGACCCCAAAGATAGTTCTTTGTTGTACAAATCGTTAATGGGGATAAAGATTATGGGCACCTGACCACAATTTTATTTCATCGCATTAATCGGCTTAACTTGGCTGTGGGTAATGAAGCAGACGAGTCAAGTTGCAAAGGCATTTAAAAACATCTAATAGCCCTGTGAAATGTTGCCAACTTTTGATGGTCGTGAGCTGCACACCTTTCGATGCGGATAGTATGCATTTCTCCAAGCAATTAATGACCCCTTTCATTCACTTGAATTCCGATGTGGAGCTTGGCCCAGATCGGCGCAAAGTTTGTTTCCCGATGATTTAATGGAACAGCATACCAAAGCCCAACGACCGAGTTTAATGGGTCCCTGAATTTGGACTAAGACAAAGTCGAAGCAAGTCGAAGCAAGTCGACGCGTTGGAAACGTGACGAACGTCGAGCGGAGAGTAGGTCGTAAGGAAGGCTGTACGATGGATCTGGATGGCTAAGGCGAAATATTAATAGAGCATAAATTACAGCTCTAGCAGGTCTGCGTGCCGGCTTTATGGGAATTTAAAGAGCCTGGCCCACAAAAGCCAAAGCTGGGCTTCGACCGGCCAGCGGCATTAATCACATTTTAATTAAGTTTAAGCCGTAATCGTAAAAATTAACACGCCATAATTCAACTGCGACAATACGCGCTGCATGTAATTTATGACAAAGAGAACTCACATACGAGGGGGGGTAGTGGGGGCGGGGTGATGGGGGGATGGGCGGTTGGGGGAGGGGTCGAAATATTGATTATGGCCACTGCGATTGACACTTGGCGATTGTTGATTATACTACCACGATTGCGGCCCAAACGTAATTAACGTTGCAAAGTGTTAAAGGTGCATGGGATAGGTCCAATCCAATCCAATCCAATCCAAACCCATCCCAGCCACGAGGAGAAACAAATTTTCCTCTTGTTTAATTTGATGTTTATCGTGGGGTCGGGGATCGGAGATCGGGGTTCGGGGATCGAGGGTTGGGGGTTGGATGGTTGGATGGTTGGAGGGTCTTAGGGCCGGGTTAATAAAAAATTTGTCGCCGTCTTCTTGTCTTGCTGCCTTGTCTTTTGTTTGCCTGCTTTGTGGCCCAGAGTGTGTGTGTGTGTGTGTGTGTGTGTGTGTGTGTTTTAATCTTCTTCTAAAGCAGCAGAAGAGACAAAGAGATTACGATCACAGGAATTTCGTTAAAGATGCTCAGAAACAGGTCTTAATACTCCAGCCTCCCTTCTCGACTCTTGTCTGTGTTAATGTTTACGTTGTCAGCTTGTGCCATAAATTAGTTTAGTAAAAGGTTGCATTTGGATCTTTTTGGATCTCCCGGCCCCTCACTATCTCATTTTTGCATACACCCGGACTCCAATTCGGTTGCTCGTGCAGCACGCAACGCCAGATTCGCGGCTCGAACTCGAAGTCCACTCCATGCGCATCGCATCGAAACGCTACCGTTCGGCAATCTGTCCGCTGTCCACTGTCCGCTTGTCCGCTTGTCCGCTGCGCATGCGCGTGTTCCTCTGGTCCGTCGTCAAATTCGAGCACTCCGCATCCTGCCCCTCGAGATCGCCGGATGATGGACAGTGCGTGCGTGTGGTCATCTCGCCGGACGGCAGAAGCTGTCAACCGAAGCCGCTCAACTTTTTGTCCCTCCCCAACCTTTTTTGTTCACATTTTCAGCGTGGAGGTGGTCACGAATTCCAGCACCTGGGCTTGTCTCTCCCGGCTGTCCCGCCTTCGATTTATCTGGCTTCCGTTCGATTTGCATAACGCCCTTTCTCGGGCTTCCTTTAGCTTTTTTTTGGCATTTGTCAAACTAACATGTCCAGTTAGTGTACGCTGTTTGGGGGTTGAAATTCAGCTGTATACCTTTAGGAAGGGAAAAATTTGTTTAATATTCAAATAATTAATATTAATTTGTTTAATATTATTTAATAATAATATAATATCTCTTAAAACATATCTGCGGATTAAGTATATGTATTAATCTGTATTTGTATTAAACATATTAACTGGAAGCTGTTAACTGTACATCACAGAGTCTACTGACAACTGTTTGCTCTAAACTTTCTTAACTTTGTATTCTCGTTTTTTTCTGTCAAGATTGTTGTTAATTTAAGCGTCTGCTTATAGTTCTATCCAACTAAATTATGGACTCAAGGCCGCACAAACTTAAAATGATCTTTGTTTAACATTCTTACTACATCCGAAGCAAATGGCTTTGAACCTTCTACTGCATTCTTAGTATATCCGTTTATTATCTCAGGGTCTTAGTATATTCTTCAACTAACCTCCCTAGCCTTGTCACATCCTTATCGAAATCTGCCGCCACCTGCTGATTGGGTCTTGGCCGATTTCCCCTTGATTCGACTTCCCCTCAAATGGCGCCGAACATCCGAAACATTTCGGGCAGCGGCGTCCCAGCAAAACTTTTTCCCACGCACAAGCTCGAGCTGCGAAATTTGCTTGGCACAGCAGCAAGTGGAGAATTATGTAAAATTGGCTGTTTTCTTTCGCCACTCGCACTGGATAACCCAAATAGAGTTTCAATCGGTGGAAGTGCCGAGCTCAGCAGGGCGATTCCAGACGCTGAGGTGTGAGCGGGTTATCGGGTGCGGAGGGGAGGGGAGGGGAATTGTTTATAAACAAATTCCTTCGGGGGACTCAGAAAATCGGCCTGCCAGACTTTACATAATTCGTGCTAAGCCAACAAAACAAACATTCTTATATTTCGATTTATATTTTAATGTGTTTTTCTTGGCATATTTTCAGGTTAAACGTCCCAAGACAGAGCACACCGATACACATGAACGCAACCGGTATGTCAAAAATAATAGTAACAAATATATATATTTATACCAAATTGATGTCTAAATCAGAGTCCAATAGTTGAACATTTTGAGAACAAAGTTAATATTGAATTGTATTGCTTAATACAGCTAGCTATGATATGAGCGTTCTGCAAAGTTACTTTTTACTATCATCTTTTTTCAGTAAACCAAAATGCTATTGATAGCCAATTTGAAAGGACATTTTACAGACTATTTCGTACGTTTCCTTCCTAAGCTGCTCTAGAAGATCTTCAAAAGGATTTCATCTGCTAGCGTAGACAATTTGTAACGGAATGGAAAGGACAGTCCTTTCACTTGACAAGGGGCGCACCATCTTCAATTGGTTTCAATTGAAAAGAGACTAGGGTCGTAGTCGTTGGTGGATTGGAAGTGTTTTGCATGTGGCCCTCACAACCTGACACATGCCCCGGCAGAAATTCAAAGAATTCTTCGCACGCCTCAGCTGTGACACATAAGCGATCCCGAAAACTGAAAAGGAAAAAGAAAAGACGAACCGAAAAGTGTCAGAGCACTTAGCACTTTCGAAGGGGCAGGAAAAGAGCGGAGGGATTCGAGGGAGGAGGTTTAGGCCTAACTACTTAAAAAGGGCTTAAAGGCGGCTCAGTCTCATATGGTTATTTCACTCCGCCGTCAGCCTTCTGAATAATTCCCATTATAATTTGCGTAAGTCTCCCATTGGCCACCACGCAGATCCCCAAGCAAAGTTTTGGTTGGCTTTCCCCTTCGTCAGCGCACGCGTCGTTCTGCGACGGGAAAACGCTTTTCCCCCTTTTGCCAGCTGCTCCCCCTCTCCATTTTCCTCTTGTTGTGGCTGCCAGCAAGATAAATGTCCCCCTTCTCCGGCAGAGAAAATAAACTCAAGGTGTCAGATTCCTTTGGAAATTGGGCACTTAATTTACCTTCCTATTGAAATTATGAAAAATTGTTAAATATTTCCCAATCCGGATTGTGGAAGTTGGAGTTCAAAATGGGGAAAATATGGATAAAGAAAAGAAAGACTGAGAATATGAAGGGGAACATTTAAATCAGGCTTCTTTTGTTGGCTGCCGAGAATGTGCTTAGCTATAACTACTTAAAAGTAAAACATTTGGAGTACTACATTTAATAATGAGAGCTAAAAATACTTGTAAAATCTCACTCAAACGTAAGGTTTGTAAGTGTGTATACTAAGCAGCCAGCTGGTTGTACAACGGCCTTTTTTGGGGAGCTATGGAAACTCCGCTTAATTGCTTCGAAAAGGATTGAATTACTCCCCCATTCTGATGCCCTTCTCCCTTGAAATAATCTACGTCCCCAAACACTTTTCATTGCTGTGATTTTCTCGTTGCGGTGATTTATTTGATTTCCATTGGTGCTCAGTATTATTTGATTATTATTGAGCCCTTTAGGATTTTCAAATTTGTCCACTTAATTTGGACCTACTTGAAAAGTAATAACACCAGAAGAACAGAAAGAATCGTCAAAACACAAGTCGTAAAACATAAAAAAATATTTGTCGCCGCTCTCTGGAAATTCAACATTTGCCGAACACATGGCCAGCAAGGGGTCGGGGGCAGGAGGTCTCCTCCGGAGGAGGCAGCGGACTTGTCCGGGACAGTCCGCACATGCCACCAAAATGCGAACCCAAGAGTCCCGAAAAGATTTCAAATGATTTCCTCGTCTCTCCCATCTCGGCGATTCTCAAACCCAGTAAACAACCCAAAAAAAAAAGGCCAGCGACAGGAAGAGCGGGACGGCGGGATCGTAGAAAAATATTTATAACACTTGACAAGATTTGGAAGAGCTCTTCAGGCGGGACCTGGACTGGGAAGCACTTGACTCGGGCTCTGGGGAAAAAAACGGGAAAACGAAATCGTCGAACAAGGGTCGGTAACGTGCCGTTAATTTTATGATTGTTTAAAGATTATTGGAAATTATTTTATGGGTTCCCTAACGAGCCCTGTTTCTGTTTCTGTTCTCTACCACACAATGGGCAGTCCTCATGTGTATAGGATGGGCATTACACTCAATATATGAAATCCTTATTCCGTTTCTTTTCTTTTTAGTTTTAAACTTAATATAAAGTTTTCATTTTTTTGAATTAATACTGGGTCTTTCATAAGCCTAGTATATATTTTTAAAAAATATCTTTCATTGCTAAAAAAAGTCTATATCTCACTTCGACAGAAAACCAAACCAAACCAAAAACTACAAACTTGTTTTACTTAGAAATGATTTTTCAATATTTAAACGACTTTAGACTCCATTACGCTATAAATATACTTCGTTAAAAATTATTCCGAAAATAAATACTTTGATAAAGCCGCAGCCTTTTTTTGACAGGGTTTTTATTGAAATTTAACAAACGGGTTTCGATGTAAACACTCAGATTAAGCGACAGAATTCTTAATACGCAGTCTCAATTAGTTAGTTATTAGTCATTATACCCGTTTCTTGCTCAGTAAAATATGAAGTTGTGAAAAAATATGTAATTGGTTCGATAAAGTGTTTCCAAATCTACTAAGTATGTATTTTGCAAGTAGCTGAAAGACCAGTCAATAGCATGAATTCAATCATTTTGAAGAAATGAATATTCTATGGTATTGGTAACTATATGATATGAGCGTTCTGCAAAGTTTCTTTTAATCCTTTTTCAGATCTTCAATTTTACAAGATCTTCAATTAAAAAATTTGGCTTTGATTTGAAAAGAGTATGTTTTGTTTAAGGTTTTGCGAAGCAATTAAAATGTCCACCTACACCCAAAAAAATTGTCATGAAACCCAATCAATTGTTACATGAATTATAAACTATATGATGTGAATAATTTCCCAACAAGATGAGTATTAAATTAACACCACGAAAGTATCAAATTAAAATTTATGGTGCTTATAAGTAAGGCCGGAGGCTAAAGTTTTAGACTCTTCGGTTTAAAAGATAAACTAAAAAGTATAGAGGTAATATTATTTATCGTTGAGTTAATACGCATACTTTCATAGTATATGTAGTTTTTATTCAAGACACATTTATTAAAACTAACCTTTAATTTTTTTTGAGGTGTAGATATATTAGGGAATCGAAAATATATAAGTATAAGCATAAATGATTGAGCATAATAGCCTTTTTTGTAGCACGGCAGTTAGCAACTCTTAGTAGCAGCACTCGAGATTATCTTACTTACTTGTTGTACCTTTTAGTATTGCCACGCACTTCACCCCAGCCCTTCAGTTACCGCCCCCACTTATGACCCCTCTTGTCTTATCTACTTGCAGCCTCTGCAATCTGTCACAGCAGCAGCAACAGCAACCCCAGCAGCAACAGACGCACCAGCAGCAGCAACAGCAACAGCAGCAGCAGCAGCAGCAGCAGCAGCAGCAATCGCATCCCAGCACCGTGTTGGCCAGCAATGGACCCAGTAGCGCCGGTGCCGGTTCCGGCATGGGTGTCGGTGTGGGCGGGGGCGGGGGCGTGGTCGGTCAGTGCAGTCCGCTGGGGCTGCCGCCGCAGAGCCAGCCGCTGCAGCCGACCATTGGGTCGCTGGCCTCGCTGAGCGGCCACTACTCGAACGGTAACGGCAATCCGAACGTGAATCCGAGCAGCTGCAGCCTGGCAGCCGCCTCCGGCTTCTCGCAGTCGGCGGGCAGCAGCTTCTCCACATATCAGCAGGCGGCGGCCTCCTCCGGAGCCGGTGTGCCCGGCGAGGACGGCGTGGTGGGCGGGGCCACTACCATGTCGCACTGGACGCACGACGGCTCCGGTTCCGTCTCCGGCTCCGGCTCGAGTGCGGCGGTCAAGTCGGAGTCCCGCAGTCCGGGACAGGGGCATGCCGCACTGGACAACGGCTCTGTGGTCAGTGCGAATCTGTACGGCTGCAGCTCGGCCAGCAATCCCCTCGACGGCGGAGCAGCGGTGGTCAACTCCTCGGCAGTGGCAGCCGCTGCAGCGGCGGTCTACGATGGGAAGCACGACTACTACTACTACAACAGCATGCAGCAGTACACTCCGCCGCCGTTCTACTCCGGCTATGGGACGCCGTACGCCGCGGCCACGGCCGCCCGTCAGGCCAAAATGGAGCCCGGAGCGGCGGCCGCGGCGGCGGCCTATCTCACGCCCAGCTATGCCAGCGGAGGCAACAACAACTCGCAGCTGTACAGCAGTCCCTACGCCGGCTACAACAACTTCGGGCAGCAGGACTACGGCGGTTACTACAACGAGCAGTACGGCAACTACTACAGCCCGGCCAACTACTCACCCTACGCGGTCAGCTCGCCCAGCTCGAGTGCGAGCCACGGGCACGGCTTCCACGTGGCAGCCTCCTCCAACCTCTCGGAGAGTCCCACGGACACCCACTCGACGACGCCGGTGCACCAGACCACCCACTCGCCGCACTCCCCGCTGCCGATCTCGCCCAGCGCCGGCATCGGACCCCTGGCCGTACCCGCCGCAGCTCTCAACTCCAGCGGAGGAAGCAGCGTGGGCACGGTGGGATCGGGGGGCGTGGCGGCCAGCAAGACCACGCCCACGGGCAAGACGGGGCGGGCACGAGGACGGCGCCACCAGCAGCCCAGTCCCACCAGGAGCACCGCCTCTGACACCGGCAACAGCGAGGCCGTCAAGCCGCCCGAGAGGGTCTTTGTGTGGGACCTGGACGAGACGCTCATCATCTTTCACACGCTGCTGTCGGGCAGCTACGCCAACCGATACACCAAAGACCACAGCTCCCTGATGACCATCGCCTTCCGCATGGAGGAGATGGTCTTCAACATGGCCGACACGCACTTCTTCTTCAACGAGATCGAGGAGTGCGATCAGGTGCACATCGACGACGTCAGCTCCGACGACAACGGCCAGGACCTGAGCGCCTACAACTTCGCCACGGACGGCTTCCACACGAACACTCCGCCCGGAGCCCCGCCCAACCTCTGCCTGCCCACCGGGGTGCGGGGCGGCGTCGACTGGATGCGCAAGCTGGCCTTCCGCTACCGCAAGATCAAGGACATCTACAACAGCTACCGGGGAAAGTGAGTACACAGCTTAGTGCTTTGAGTTTCCATCTGAAAGATTTAGAAAATTTATAGGGAAGTCATAGGTCACTTACAAACTGCAGTGATGTTCGCTAAAAGTCACAATTTTCATTGCTTGCATTACCAGCCGCGAAAATTAAAGTGTTCGCATGCCTACCAGTTGATCCTCACCTTGAATGTGCACATATTTTTTTATTAGTTGTATAATATATAAAACAAAATTTTTGGTGTAGCTTAGTGTTATTATAGAGATTTACTTTATCACTAGCTTTCATTAATGCAGATATACTTTTAAAAAGAGCGCGAAAATTCTGAGTAGAGTAAGAAAAAGTAAGAATACATAATTTTCCAAACGTTTCTTTTAACAACATTGAGGTTCCGTGATCTTTCGCTATCAACAAAAATTTTTTTATTGCTTGGAAAGAAATATTTAAAAGTCATACAGTTTTATTTGGTCATGTTGTTAATCCGATAGTCTGTTATTGAGGTCAAAGATTAAATCCACTTTTCCAGGTCAATTTTTTTTAAAACGCTGATTTAGTTAAACACTCTTGTGTCCAGAATCTGTGCACCGAAATGTGTCAAAAATTATATATTTTGATAGATATACAAAGTCAAGGTTTTTATGATAAATAATTAAGATTATCAATTTTTTAATTCTTTATTATCTTAAAAGGGTTAAGCATGATCTTCAAATTTAAGTTAAGTAAATGTCTGGTTGCACAAGTAAAACTTTAAAGCTTTAAAAAAGGTGGTTCTACAAAATGTTAAAAATTGCAGACGAAGCTATTTTGTAAAAACAAAAGTTTTGGAAATGGGAAGCCCTTTTTTTTAACCTTGTTTACAAAAACATATTCAAAAGACAAGAGTTCGCCGTATTGTAAATCAAATTTTTCAATCTTGTTAAAAGGCAGAATAGCAGACGTTTTTTTGTGGCTTGGTTCAAATTCAGCTCGCAACTGGATTCGAGCTAAAGAAAATACTTGTACTTGTGTATTGTCCACCCCACTAACAAAAAACACGCTTCTCCATTATTTTCCAGTGTGGGCACCCTGCTGGGACCCGGAAAACGCGAGGCCTGGCTGCAGATCCGCTCGGAAATCGAGGTGGCCACCGACAACTGGGCCACGCTGGCGCTCAAGTGTCTGAGCATGATCTCCCAGCGGGAAAACTGCGTCAACGTCCTGGTCACTTCCACGCAACTGGCCCCGGCGCTGGCCAAGGTTCTGCTGTTCGGGCTGGGCGGCATCTTCAACATCGAGAACATCTACAGTGCGCACAAAATCGGTGAGTGGAGATCGATCTGTATTGGTATCGTTCCGGGCACTAACCAGTTTTCCCCCTTTTTTTTTGCAGGCCATGAAACCTGCTACGAGCGAATTGTGACGCGCTTCGGGCGCAAGAGCACCTACGTGGTGATTGGGGATGGCAACGAGGAGGAGACCGCCGCCAAGGCCATGAACTTCCCCTTTTGGCGCATCTCCGCCCACAGCGACATTCGCGCCCTCTACACTGCCCTCGACATGGGCTTCTTATGAAAGGCCAAACTGTAAGGGGTTCGCCCGACTCGCGATACTAAGGCCTCATCGGGATTTGGGATCGTTGTCGCAGGCTCGAAGCAGTTTTGAGTACAAACAGCAAAATGTTTAACTAATTTATTTAATATGTGTGCGTATGTGTGTGTGTGTGTGTGTGTGAGACATCCTGCAAACGGAAACTGTAAACCAGCGCAAAATAATTTAATTATTTTGTTTAAACAATTTATACTTTAACGCCAAGACTTTTTGTATTATATAGTTTTTAAACACCTAATCGACGGTCGTAACAATTCTCGCACGAAGTTGTTTCAAGTGTGTAATTAATGGACTAATGATTTAACAATATACGTATTTAGCACCCTAGAGTAGCCAACAACAACAGACCGATGCGCATCCTGGCAAAAGAATCGGAGTCACTGATGGATCGGAGCAAACACTACAAAAATTAGTTTAAAGTTCTTAGTTTAAAAGCAGAAGCCTAATTATAATAATTATAAATAGTTCGACAAAGCCGTAGTATTCAAATTTTAAATAACTATCATATAGCTGCATATATTAAACTATATTTAAAATATAAATCCAAGTAATAAAAGAGCAAATCCAACAACAACGCACTCTCTTGGGGTTTAATCGAAAATCATTTTTGTTAAGAAAAATACTGTGCAGGAAAAGCAACCAGTTTTTGGCTAGAAAATTACTACAGTAACTAAACTACTATAGTAACTTAAGTTGAGACAGAGTAAATAACTAGATGTCTTATTTGTCAGACCTAAAGTATGTAAAACTACCATTATGTTTGTGCCAAAGGTCATGGTACTTTCTTTCATGAAAATAGTAATGTGAATTAAAATCAAACAAACAAAAACCAAAAAAAAAGGTTTAACTGTTTATCGGATTATTTTCGACGATATCCCTCAGACAATTAAGCAAAAACGGCAAGGAAAGAATGATGTAGATTTGAATGGAAATATTGAATGGAACTTTCTTTCCTGAACCATTTAAGTTTTGAAGACATAGTATGCACACCATACTCTTTTAGCAATACCTTTCGTTACTCGTTACGATCGGACCATCACAGCAGATTTTCAATTCAATGAGGTCTCCACATGCAATTGCTCACTGACTGCCAACGCTCCGAAGCTTTTTAGGCTAACCTAGAAGAAACAGATGCAGTTGATGGAGGAGGAGTTCATGCTCGAGAAGAACAAGGATTCGATTTCAATTGTACTCAGACTGGTACTCAATTTCATAAAAAAGTCATATTTTCGAGAGGGTCCAGTTCCACTAGAAGCACCCCTATCACAAATTACACATTATTCTATTGAAATAAAATTATTTAACGTTACTACAAACTATATTATGCATAAGTGAGTCATCTCCAGCAGTGATTACACACATAGAGTATATCCGTTTCAACCTGCTCGGGAAGAAGTGGCCAGGAGAGAGGCTTTCTATAAATATTATAAACTTATCAGCATCAAGCAATAATAATTTATTATTTATTTGAAAATAATTTATATCACTTTAAAGAAGACCTGACTTGTTAAATTTCAAGTAACTATTTGAAAAAAAGAGCATCGCTTTGATCATTTGAATTTCAAATTTTGGAATAAAAAAGTATAACATTTTATACTTCCATGTCAAAATGATGCGAGATAAGACCTAAGAGAAAGTTGTTGATGATCAAAATGAAATTAAAAAAATTATTCTGTCAATATTTTTATTTGGGAAAAGCCGTCACTTTGAAACTTTGTCATTCAGTAAATTTTTTCCTAACTAGATAAATTTTCTCACTTTCCATACAATTACTCACGTTCTTATTTTACTTACACTTACACCTTTTCTACATGTTTCCTTTTACATCTGAAGGCACAGTTTAGCTAACAGCTTCCAAATTTCGCCACAGAGGGTCGCCCCTCTTGTCTACACTGTATTTTACTTATTAGTTACACCGATGAGATTGGCTTTTTTTAACCTTTTTTGGCATCTCCAAACTTTAAAATAAATCTATAAATCTATAATCTACTGCTGAGTTCGAGCCGAAAAATGTTAAGGTATAAGAAATAATTTAAGGCATTTAAATGTAAAAACTGCGAACATTCTAACATTAAAATTAGCGGGATAAAGACATTTAAACAAAAATGTCGAATTTAGAGTTTAAAAGCAAAGTTAAGTGATTACCATAAAAATCCCCAGCAATATCCATAAATATTCTTCTTCTGCGCTTCAATGAATCCGTCAATGAATGAGGATCGTGAATGAATACGATCATGCTTATTCAGTGGCTTGTCGTCCACCAGTTGAGTTTTCAGTTAAGGATTAACCATTATGTGGGATTCCCGGTTTATTCTAGGCTATTCATTCTGACACCCATAACGTATACAAAAAGAGAGACGCCAGATATAAATCTTCTCAAAAGGAAGTTACACTGATTTTCATAAAGATATTCGTGTATCTTTAGAAAACCAGGATTACGAATTTTGAAACAAATCAAAACAAAATGTTTTTGTATTAAGGGTATAAGGGTTTTAGAAATAATAGAAATACGTCTTCGGCCATGGATCTATTACAAAAAAATGCGTCTTCGGAGTCCATTTTAAAATTAACTCACACGAAAAATGTTGTACCTAAATTCATAAACATGCCCATTCTTTTGCGCTCTAGAGCAAGATTTTAAATTATTACTTTTCACGCTAGTTTTACGAAAAAAAGACATCGGATGTGGCCAAAAGTTATTTTCATAATTCAGTGTTTATTCAGTTGGTATCTTGCTTAATAAGTGTAATTATGCAAATATTGCTGGATTTTTCAGTTTATTAAATAATCCAAATACTCTTTTAACATATTGTGTTGCTAATTTGATCGATTTACTGGACTTCGTTTTGGGAAAATTAACGAATATAACTCAGTTATATATTAATAAGGACATAAAGTATAGTACAATTTAATTACAATTACAACTAAATAACCATACAAATAATTTATGCCTAAGGAAACTTATGAGTAGGAATTGAGTGCCCATTGCTCTTCTTAATACATTTCTATAATTTTCATTAGAAAATTCGTGTCTAAATTGATTCTAGCGTGATTTAATAGTTCTTTTCCGAATTGATAATATTGCACGGTTTTTGGATTGCCAAATATGGTTGTATAATTGCATCTCGATTAATTTCAAACTTTTTTTCTCTCTGATACGTTTTGGTTGAGTTAGATGCTAAATCACTGGATTTCATTGCACTTGTTAAGCTGAATTACAAAAGTTGTTTGCCTAAATAATTTACATCAAAAAGCCAAGTAAACAATCCACTATACGCAGCCCTATTTAGACTAAGTTTTCAGTTATTGTTTGCTTAAATTCTAGGCCTAAATGTAATTCTGATATTCGACTGGTTTTCGTACCGCTTTACTCTCTACACAAAATTCGCCAATTACTAAAATTATGCATTTCATATTGTATATTCAGTTTATATATATTAATAACTATTGCTCAGTTAAGTGTGTTTGCGTGTTTAGCAAAAATGTGCCAGCTATGAATGAGTTTTCACATTGCACCCCCTTCTCCATTCTCCATCCAATCGCTACATCTCTCGCTGCCTTCCTCCGTTCTTTTCCTATTTCTTTTTGCTCGCTCAACACGACGATATCACAACAAAATGTACCAAGTAGAAGAATTAGTTATCATTATCAGTTATCGTTAACAATCAGCTAACTCTAGGACCGCTTCACGTGAACGGTGGCGGCATCACCATGGGATCGAAGGTCTGCTGCGTGGTGGAGAAGTTGCTAAAGCTCTCAATGCGACGGTAGCCCCACAAGTCCATAGCATCGACACAGACATCCTGGATTTGTTTGATCTGAAACGGAATAATACCGACGTTACCTCACTTCACTATCAAACACATGGCATTTTTAAGACCCGACCTCCTCTGGCTTTAGATCCTGCATCCAATGGAATGGTGCTGATCTGGAATCACGATATGTGGAGCTGACACCTCCGATGTTCACCTTGGTGTGCGTGTCCAGGAACTCCTCCACAGCTGGATCAAACGGCAAGCCATAGAACTGTAAAATGTCCTGGGTCATCTCACTGGGGCTCAGAGATAGGTCCTCATAGCGTACAGTCCTGGGAGAAAAAATGTTTGTTATGTCTAAGAGTAGAATACTTTGAATGAGAAAACTCACCTAAAACGAGATGGATACTTTTGCAGCAGCAGCTCAGCAGTTTTGTAGTCATCTTGCAGGTCCTGGCACACCAGGCGAGGATCCTCGCAGTCCTCGTTACCTCCGCACCACACTCGATGTCGCCGCGATTGCATGGTTCCTCGTGGATCCCGCACCAGCAGCACGATCCGCACGCTGGAGAGACTGCGGGTGGGGATGGAGACTTGTTAGAATACTCATATAGATAGTCATATGTATGCGATGAATGATATATAATTGCTGGCGTAATAGTTAGGCACCGAGCCGTGAAGTTCACTTTGGCATAACAATGGGGGGAGGGAGCCCGCCTGGAATTGGCTTTCAATTAAATCGGATTAAAACTTCTATAATGAAGCGTAATTAGCATTTTCATGGAGCTCAGCACGAGTTGGTTTCGAGCCGAACTCTAATGGCAATACATGGTTCAACTGAAAATTGTTTTTAATTACAACACTTATATGTATATATGTTTCAGCACCGGTGCCCTTTTGCACTACAGACATTTCATTTGTAAATATATTTCATGAAAAAGTTTTGCCTAAGCGAAAAAATATACAAAACGTTGATAGTGGCAAAAACGGAAATAGTGAACTTAACTTGATAATGGGGTCGTTTGGAATAGAAAGGGGAGGTTACAGGACAGAGTAAAACATTGTTTTTTTTTTAGGGAAGATAAACCAACTAGAAAATGTAATTGAATTTATAGTTTTAATTACAACTCTAATAGTTCATTTTGTTTATGCTCCATATTAAAAAAATAAGCGCTAATCACATTGTTCTAACTTAAAACTTTGTTTCCGATTTGAATTTTCTGAATCAACGCAATTGGCATCGGAACCAAATAAACCATCCAAATAATTCTTTGCACTTAGTAATTCGCAACTATTGCCAGGCCATACGTCAGCATCATCAGAGACATAACCACATACACTGGCATCACCAAAGCGAAATACACCCACTTAACCACAATGCTAATGAGTTTGTGGCGAATTGAAACAATGTAAACATCTGCAGCTGCATCTGTATGCAAATCGTAACATACGTATTATATACAGCTTATTTATAAGTTTAGTTTTCGTCAGCACTAAATGCGATAGACTGAAAGGAATGTGGAAGAATGTTTTCCATATAAAGTTTTAAATTATATTGAGGAAAACAAAATTTAACAGAACAATATTCTGAGCAACGGTTAACTCTCCATAAATCATGCAAATTCACTTAATCGGTCATTGCTGATGATATTTGGAAAGCGTGCAAAAGCATGCAGGCAGCATTTAATTTATAACAAATTATATTCTTCACTCATAAACAAGTTTTTACTGTGTATATATATATACTGGAAATATACGTTTACTGAAAACTATTTCAAAAGCCAAAACACGAGGAAAATAAAAATTTCGCAACATTACT